TGTGGCTTCAGCAACCCCTGGCAGTTGGTGCTGAGGGATGGGTGTGGTTCAGGCCAGGAAACTCCAGTGGCAGGCACATGGTGTGAGACCCCAGAGTCCGGGCTACCTCGAGCTGTGCTGTGTGGTGTAGTTGCCTTGTCAGTGCTGGGGGCCCTGTCGTTGGCCCTGGCGCCAGGGCAATTGCAACATCCCTGGGAGAATGAATGGGGCTCACTGTGGCAGCTCTGCTGAGCTCAGAGCCCCCTTTGTGCTGCTTCAAGTGGCCGTTGGGAGTGCGGCTGGGGACCTGCCGGCGGGTGGCTGTCCCACTGGCCCTTCTCAGCCTTTGCTGGAGGCCAGCCACGCTCTGCTCTGCAGCCCTGAACACACAATGCTTTCCTTCCCTGCTGCCTTTGCTTGGGCTGGGCCCACACCTGGAATGTGGCTTCCGTTGAGTCCCTCAGGTCTAGATTGAGCCACAGTGCCCCCAGGGACCCTGCTCTGATTTCTGACCCCTCTTGCCTTTCCCTCTTCCCCAGTCTATGACTCAGTTGCCTGCAGTTTGACCAGGTACTATTAGGCCTTCAACTTCATAGTCAAGGGCATTTGACTCAGGCAAACCTGAGTTCAGATCCCACCTGCATGATCTTGGGCAAGTCAATTACCTCTTTGTCATTTTTCCCATCACTAAAATGGGACAAATATACCATCCCTCACATGACCCTGTGGCAGTGAAATAAAACACTGATACTGAGAGTATCATCCATATTACATTTACTTGTGTCTTTATTTGCATGTTGCAAACAGACCTCATACTCCGGAGAGGAACTGGTCTTACGCATCCATATCGGCAGCCTACCCCATGAGCCTGTCTTCCCCTTCCCTCCATACACCCCCACCCTGTCCCTAGTGGGGGGAGGAAAACAGAGGGTCCAGGCCAGTAGCTCCCTTTCCTATTCTGTGCCTCAGTTTCCCTATCTATAAAATGGCAGCAGGACCAGAGGCTCTCTCAGAGCCTGGCCAATCAGCAAACATTTACTGAGCACTGGCCACATGCCTGGCTTGGCTGCCTTAGCTGATCCATAGAAGCAGGAAACTTCCCTCAAACCAGCAGATCTGAAGTCAAATGAGAAATTGTTTCCAGCTAGAACCTCATTTCTGCTCACTTCCACCTGGGTGATCTGGAGTCCCGGGCCTGGGCAGCCTTCTGAAGGGCTCCTGAGCCCTCTTGCCTGCCCTCCTGGAAGGCTGGGGGCACAGGGCCCTGAGGGAAATGACTGGCAAAGTTGGGGTTCAGGCCAGTGATGGTGGGGTGGAGGTGATGACACCACCGGAACTTCTGCTGAGTCTTCTGCCCACAGGATGTGACTGAGGGAGGGCTTGTGGGAAGTAGGCAGGGTCCCCAGCCTGAGAGTCTAACAGTGAAAGTCACCCAAACCCATGGCAGATCCCCGATGCTACTATCCCCTCCCACACCTGCCATAGGCAGGCAGGGCACCCATCTAGCCATGCTGTGCCATGACTGTGCCTTAGCTCCACCCCCATCCTAGATGGGCAGGGCCCTGACATGGGTTTGTGCCAGACTGACCTGGTTCAAATATCAGTGTGGTCACTGGACAGCTGTTTGACACTGGCCAGGTGATGCCACCTCTGAGTTTCAGTGTCCTTATGTGTACAGTGGAGGTGATAAAAATACCCACTTCCTATGGCTGAGTGAGAATTGAGATAATTCCCACAGTGGTAAGTGTACCGCTTGGACCATTTATTTTCCCTCAATAAATTGTAATTACTACAATTATTATTTTCTCTCCTTGCCCTTGCCACCCTCAATTTACCAATGGCCTCCTTTCTAATAGTGTACCCATGAAGCTGACCCAAGATCACTCCCTGTCACTCAACTGCCTAAAACCCTTGCTGGCTCCACACCGCCCTCAGGAGAGGGCTCCCTGCTCCTCACCCAGCCCTCAAGGCCCTCCCTGGAAGGGCCCTCCCCCAGAACAGGGTCTCCTGGAACACCAGGATGACCAGACCCATTCCTGCCTCCTCCTGCGAGGCCACTTCAAGGCCAAGTGTGAGGGGTAAGAGCTGGAGGGTTTCCTGTAGGTAGAGAGGGTTCTGGTGTGCAATCAGGAAGCACAGCCCTAAAGGCAGGAAGGCCTGGGAAATTAGGAAACACAGATTTGTGTGGCCACAGCCTAGGAGGGGAGCTGGAAAGAGCTTCCAATGTCACAATTGGGTTTTTCCTGATGACAGTGGAGGGAAATACATGCACACTCTACTTCAGAATGATCTGGTGGGTGCTGTGAGTGGGACTGATGGAGAGGCCAGACTGAGGAGGCCAGGAACCCATGGGCAGAGGACTGGAGAGGAGGGACAGGTCGAAGGGGTGCAGAGGAGGTAGAAGAGAGCTTTGCTGGGGGCTGGCTGTTGAGTAAGTAGAGCTGGAGGAAGAAGCGGGAGGCCCCTGGAGCCAGGAACACATCAGAAAGATGATGGGGAAAGGCTGGGGCAGGAGCAGGGGGCACAGGGGCAGGGAGGGAGACACCAGGTGAATGGTGGGCTTGGTGCTTAGCTTAAGGACAGCAGGCCTGACACAGCACTACTGCTACACCCCTGGGCAGACCGTAAATAGTCTGGGTCAGGAGGATCCTCTTCAGACAGACCAGGTTCAGACCCAGCTTTGTCACTATGTGGTCTTGGTTGGGCAAATGACCTCACCTCTCCCAGCCTCAGTGTCCTCTTCTGTAAAATGGGTTAGTGATCCTTACTATGAGCCTGTGGACTCAGGATTCGGCAGGAACACCTAGCACTTCCTGAGCGCACAGGGCTGCTGAATGAATGCTATTGTTGTGATTACTGACCTAGGGCTGGACGAGTTTCGGCTCAGCTCAGTGGGGACGTGGGTCCTGCGCGTTTCATCTCTGACTTCCAGAGAAACCGGGGGTCCAAGGCTGGAAGGCCCGGCGGTGCTGCCTCGCTTCTTTCAGTGTCGCCGCGCCCCCTGGCGGCCACCGGTTGCCATGTCAACGGCGGGTGGCGGAGGCCCGGGAGGCGGTGGCGGGGCCGTTCTCTCCTCCCTGGACCCGAGGCCGCTCCCTGGCTACCTCCCGCCTTCACCAGTGTGTGTGTGTTTGGGGGGGCACTCGGAGCCGGGGAGGAAGGGGCTCCCCGCGGCAGCTGGCGTGTGGCGGTAAACTGAGGCACGCGGCCAGGCGCCCCGCAGCCAGGTGTCGAGTGCCGGCCCCACCTCCAAAGGCGGAGGAGGG